ATTATTATATAATTACAAATGATATTATTATTTATTTTTTTATTGTGTTGTGGGATAATGTTGTTGGCTTTTTCTGTTAATATATTATTGACTAATAAATATATCAACGAGGATACACCATCATTAGTTTTATGTTTAGAGTGTTCCAATATACACTCTTTATCCTAAAGTAGCAAATATACAATTATATACAATATATACAATACAAATTAATATCAATCTTCTTCATTTGAAAAATATGTTTGTATGACTGCATATTTTTCTAAATTGTCTTCAGTGAAATTACTTCTTTTAGAAGTCAATAAATCTTTAAACCTAGAAAACGATCGTTCTACGTCACAACTCGTTACAGGAGCAAATGAAAAATGTGGAACAAAATCACAATATTTTAAAGCAGTTTCATAATCGTTAAAATTGTTCAGGGAGATTTGTTTCAGAGTCTGTAAATTTGGATTTCTTTTAATAACACAATCTATTTTATGGTTAAATTTATCTTGTAAGGGCCACTTTACGTTTTTTAAGTGTAACAATGTCGATTCAAATTTTTCCATAGCAACCGATAATTGTAAGTTACGGGTTTCAAGGAATTTTATAGTTTCTGGGAGACACGAAAAATAAGTCGCAAGAAAATTTAACTCCGACTGCAAAGTTGTTTTTGTTATTAAACCTTTACACTGAGTGATAGAGAGAGCGTCCTCTGATAAGTTGGAAATAAATACTTTTAGTCTGTCGAAATGCTCCGAAAAAAAGAACACAGCCTGTAACCAAGTTCCCCATCGTGTAATAACTGGTTGTGGAGGTAGGGGGATATTCGGACATATTTCTTTATATAAAGAAACTCGGGACGGTGCTTTTAACAAAATTTTTTTAAAACAGCTAATCAACGAATTAATGTCTGGAAAGCTGTCACGGATAAACTCACAAACTCGGTGTAACGCGTGAGCAAGGCAAGTTACATGCAGCATGTTTGGAAAATGTTCTTGTAATAGTTTCCCTGTTTTCAACATTACACTTGCCGCGTCTGAAATAAACAATAAAACTTTTGAAACGTCATTATCAATTACATTGTTCAATCCACGTTTCACTATTTCATAAATCATTTCAGCGTTCACAGTTTCACGAAACACACTAGAAACTAAATACTGTTGTGAAGTATTTTCAGCACTTAATAATCCTACAACAACATTAACAACACATCTACCCTTTATGTCAGTCGTTTCATCTGCACTAACCCAAATATATTTGCTGGAAATTTTCGTTTTTATTGCCGTCATTGCTTTATCGTACTGATTTTGAATATAATGTTTTCTAATTGTGGATTCATCCGGTATTTTACGTTTAGTATATTTACAAAGAAAATTTTTGAAAATTGTATTATTTAATTTTGTTAATGGAATATTTGCAGAAACAAATGCGTTGCATAAATCTTCATAAAAGATTTTGTCTGGACATCCCTCTAAAGATTGCATGTGTTTTTGTGTTTTCACATGTTGTGTCATACTTGACTTTCCATTAAAAACTAACACCTGATCACAATTGCGGCAGTATAATTTGTTGTCATTAAAACGACGAAAACAATCAAAGTCCGATAATAAATTTTCCATATTTACGTTTCCAGTTTCTATCACTTTTCCCTTTGAACTAAACAAATATACTCATTGGAAAAATCTAGTGATATTTTTACAAGACACTTTCTTCTCAAATCTCCTGTTTATCGACTCTTTGTTATCTTTTTACATTTTTTCAACCAACAGATACCTATATAGAGTGAGCAATTGAATTAATACATACATTACAGAAATTTAACAGACATTTATTTTATTGTCTCATCGTGTATAAGTACCATAATATCCACAGGAAATAAAAACATAAATGTTTTGTTACAAAAAATCGGTATGTACGGTATCGATAAAAGCCAAAATATTCATAAATATAATATAAGGATTGACTTTATTTGAATAAAAATATCACCGGCAACTAACCGACAATGGATCGAGAAAGTATAAGACAACATATGATGGGCCTATTTGACATTCATTTTAGGCCCTCTCTACAGCGTCTTAGTCCAAACGCTCGTAGAGTCCTAATATTTGGCCCCGATGCAATTTCTCCAACAATGAATCGGGACCAGCTAAGGCTAGAAATTTCCAATTTTCTGGAGGAAATAACAAATTCGGGGGAGGCAGCTGGGGTCCTCGATCCTCATTTTAGGCAGGAGAGTAGTGTACCACGCCAAAATATTGAGGAATAGATATTTTGTAATTATATAAGAGATAATAATAAAAAAAATATCATACAGAATATCGTTTACATTACTACACCTTAAACTCGCTTATGAAAAGTTTAACATCTTCATCAAAAAAGTTATTTTTTTTTTAAGGAAAATTTCTCAGGCCACAAATTAAAGGATCTGAGGTTACTAAAAACTTTTGTAAAATATCCTACATATCCTCGGCGTTGGTGAGAAGAAAACATTAAATTTGTTTAATGAAAATGATTCAAAAGACAAAGAATATAGGTACACGATAAAAAAAAATCTCACTTTTTTGTATTAGTTTTAATGTCTATGTATATATCAGTACACTTTTTTTATCTTGTTTTAATAAAAAAAAGAGGTTTGTCCTGATAGTATTAGAATCTGCCGCACTGTCTGCCGTCTTAAATAGCGAACCCAGAATGAGACGCCTATGTGATTAAAACCAATTATTTGAACGCGATTAAAATGTCCGGTCTTTAATAATATATTAATGGTCTTCTTCCGATAATCCGATGCAGCCTCGTCATTATTCTTGTCAATATATCAGACAAACAGTAGGTAGTATGTAGAACGTTTATATTTACTAAAAAAATTTCTATTTACCTAGAACTCCTTAACATTGGAATATATTAAAACAATAAAACCGCATATTAGCCTTAATATTGTTTACCAAAAAATATCGCGAAGGTGAGAAAAATTACTAAAGCATCAATTTTTTCGTTATTATAATTTTACCTGTGGCTAGACGTATTAATTTTGCCGGATTATCATTTTAACTAATGATGAATCATTAAAAAAATGTAGAATATTTTTTCTGGTGTGAAATCCCCATATTTCGCCATACATAAAAAGAGTAAACATCCGTGAGGTTAAATCAAATTAAGTCGTCAACATTAAATACGATTTAAGCAAAATGATTTCAAAATTACGCATGTTTAGGGCGCACCTATAATATTATTAATAATCTCATCAAATTGTTAAATAGGTAAAAGTATTAATAGGAGCGTAAACAACTAAATATAATTAGTTGGGACGATTATAATTTTTTCATAAATCAAGTAGGTATTTAAAATAATTTAAGATAATTGACAATGACTTTTAATGTTTTTCAACATCTATTAACATCTACTGATTATCAGAATTTTTTTTGTTTCATTCTATAATTGTTTTCGCAATTACACGTTTATTGACAACTTAATGTTGGGACAGTAAACGAATATTATTAAGTAGGCATGGAAAATAAAATATATTATTTACCTGTCAAATCAGTTAATATAGTATATTACATTACGAGTGATGAACGTGAAATTTTTTACACGAGTGGGAAATATTGTCGCACGAGGCTTATGCCAAGATCAACAAAAATACACAATATATAATTAATACACTTAATTTTGTTTTTAAAGAAAAATGCTAAAATAACTAGAGATGCCAAAATAATCAGAGCGCTAGCAAACCCCACACGAACGCCACGAATAACCTACAAAATCATGTTACTTTAATAATTTTTGTAAGTTCCCTTCTGTATGTGCTTATAGCTACATCAAAAATACCGCAAGAGATGTCTTCGGAATGTACGTTAAATAATAGACAATTTTTTTATAGTCTAAGAGCCAGTGGACGGCTACCTGTATGTATTTGACCAAACCTGAGTTTTTGTACACTGAGACCCCTATACCTACCATAGCTGAGATAGGGAGTCACTTAGCCCAAAGTGGTGGACGCGGCGGGTGCGCAGGTAAGACAGGTATCGATTTTTGGCAAATTTTAAATGCATTTGGCCACGTCTGCCGTTTTGAAATTTGAAAATATATAATTAATATTATTATAATCAGAAAACAACAATGGCAGACCATTATCGCGTGGTTTAACATTTTGGCAGACAGTTTTGAAAGTGCTGAAAATAATAAAATTTTGAAAGTAATTGACCAGATCTGCCATTGATATATTTTATTTATTAGGGTCTTAAAAACTTATATTCATCACGGCAGACGTCTTCATTGAGTACACACGTCAGTAGACAACAAAATCTTATAGTCTAAAGTGGACGGCTACCTGTATGTATTTACCAGACCTGAGTTTTTGTCCACTGAAGCCCTTATACCTACCATACCTGAAATGGGGAGTCACTAAGCCCAAGGTGGTGGATGCGGCGGGCGCTCAGGTAAGACAGGTATCGATTTTTGACAAATTTTAAATGCATTTGACCACGTCTGCCGTTTTCAAATTTGAAAATATTATTATTATCAGAAAACAATAGTAGCAGACCATTATCGCGTATTTAACATTATGGCAGACAGTTTTGAAAGTGCTGAAAATAATAAAATTTTGAAAGTAATTGACCAGGTCTGCCATTAATATATTTTATTTATAATGGTCTTTAAAACGTATATTCATCACGGCAGACGTCTTCATTGAGTACACACGTCAGCAGACAACAAAACCTTAGCTACCATCCGATCGGATGTATGTGTATTACGTTCCTTGTTTCACACGTTATTACTTTATTTATAGGAATTAATATTTAATTTAGTAAACTATGGACTAAAATTTATAAATTTGATAATAAAAAAGTAAATATATTTTGAAAGGATCTCAAATATTAAGGTATATTGCAGATAACAAATATTTATTTTATTTTCTTCTTTTTATTTATTTATGACAAAATTAAAAATAATGAACTAAAAAATGAATCATGCATACATTACAAAATATATATTTTTTTTTTCATTGATTTGAATTTTCATTCATCATCATCATCATCATCATCATCATCATCATCATCATCATCATCATCATCGGAATCATGTCTGTCGTAGTGTGACTCGTCTTCATCATCCATTGAATCGGAATCTGTAAAAATAGAACGTAAATTATAAAAGTAATTTGTAAATCAATCCGAACATATTCGATAAAGAATTGATTATTATGAACTTACCAGGGACTTGGGTAATCAAGTCTCTCACGGAAGTTGGGAGTTGATTTCCTTCAAACCATTTAAATACCAATTTATCGTCTTGCTCAATCCAACCATACTCTAATGGGTCCAATGTAATAGGTTGCTTTTTGTAAGTATTTTTCAAAACTGTTGAAATATAATGAAGATGGTTGTTCAATTGCAGACGAAGACGTACTGGGCTGTGATGGAACGTTTTTTTTTTTTTAACATCTGTCGAAATAAAATGTCTTATAAATGCTGTAAATGTCTTGTAACAACTATTATGATATGCAGAATCATAAATTTCGTCCGGTAAAATGATATCTTTATATTTAAATTTATGAAATTTTCGTAACCTTAAAATCTTTTGACATGTTGACATAGTTTCTTTTGAAAATATCAGTAATTTATTAGTTTTTACCTTGTCACAAAAAACACACTTCAGTTCTTTTTTTTTTTTTCACTCGACATAATTATATTAAATAATAGACTAATCAACAAAATAAAAGAAAGGATCACTATATATTTTATTAATTTCACAAAACACGAGGTATCTGTATGAAGGTTTACAGATATACTGAAAACATCTGGCACTAACCGTTATGATGGAGAGATATCTGGACCCTCTCAGGTATAAAATCTGAATTATTTGAATACTAGTATCAATAAAAGAAAATATTATAGGCTAGAATGAGTACAATAGTAATCCATAGGGAAAAAAGAAAGATAGCTATCGACAGTCTATGCATACACCAGGGGGTCAATTCTCGACTTGTAGGAACCTTTTCCTATAGGAATTTGTGACACTTTCCTATATGTAGGAAAATGTCATAAATTTTCGATGTATATAAAAATGTCAAAAATTCCTATAGGAAAATATTCCTACGAGTCGAGAATCGACCCCCTGGCCGGATAGTAGCTAAGATTTTGTTGTCTATTGACGTGTGTACTCAATGAAGACGTCTGTCGTGATGAATATAAGTTTTTAAAACCCTAATAAATAAAACATATCAATGGCAGATCTGGTCAATTACTGTCAAAATTTTATTATTTTCAGCACTTTCAAAACTGTCTGCCAAAATGTTAAACCACGCGATAATGGTCTGCCATTGTTGTTTTCTGATAATAATAATATATTTTCAAATTTCAAAAAGGCAGACGTGGTCAAATGCATTTAAAATTTGCCAAAAATCGATACCTGTCTTACCTGAGTACCCACCGCGTCCACCACTTTGGACTTAGTGACTCCCTATCTCAGGTATGGTAGGTATAGGGGTCTCAGTGTACAAAAACTCAGGTCTGGTCAAATACATACAGGTAGCCGTCCACTGGCTCTTAAGGTACCAGTCCGGTAGGCGCGACAGACGACCGCCGACGCGACATACGACCGCCGACGCGACCGAGAAGTGTAGCTTCACATCTAAAATACATACAATTATATAAAACACATTTCGCACGGCGCGACACGACCGAGAAGTCTCGTGGAGACACTTCTCGATGCAAAGCTTTGCTGCGTATCGCACTCGAGATCACTGTCCTCGGCATCGCTTTTTTTTGGGGACTGATTCGGTCGGAAATTTCTTTCGATCTAGGCAGCTTTGCCAGATTTTAAAACAGTATGGGTAAAAAAAACCGTAGATCTGAACAGTAGATTTTAATAAAGGGGAAAATAATTATAATTTACAGTGTAGTAAATAAAAAAACAAGTATATAAGAAACGAAAAATAAACTTTTTTCTACCCAAATTAGAAAGTAAACAAAGAATAAAAACATTTTTAATATATACTTAAAGTACCTACTTCTTTTAGATCAGTCTGAATTAGATAATTCAAAATCGTAGTGTTTGGCATATGCATGTTCTTTTTATGATGCCCTATTAATTCTTTGTTTCATTTTAAATAAAAACAATGATTATCTTGATGTTTTTTTTTAAGGAGCCAACCTACAGTAGTGGATGCTTATTACGCTGCTTTTACTAGAGAGAAAATATTCTTTACCCATTTGCTGAAGAATGAGGCAAACTTAATAAATTAAGAACAAAATTTTCTAGAGACAAAAGCAGTAGATCTACGTAAAAATAGTAGGTCTGGCAACGCTGATTGTTCCCTCGAATGGTTATTCCTGTAAATGTCGCGCGACACTTCAAGCTTGCCAAATGTACGAAGCGTAAAATTTATGCACCTGTTGTCCTACTCGACCTTGGGGTCGGTTCAGTGGTCGCTTGTCGTCTGTCGCGCCTACCGAAATGGTACCTTTAGACTATTATAATGGACCATGATTATTCGCACGAAAAGTTAATTTACGGGGGCGAATACCTGCCAATGAAACATTGATTTTTATTTGACTTAATAAATATTGACTATCTATATATCCATTTAACAATTTATGAAATACGAGGTTAATCATAGTGCGCCTATGTTCCAATTTTTCAATTTTAAACTCGTTTTTAATAGGTTCAAATGAGACAAAGCCTGGACTCGTACAATACTTCTTGAAATATAAGTATTTAATAAATTTATTTTGAATGCTTTCCGAAATTTGTTTTAAATTTTGTTGCGTATGGTCCCATACAGTGGATGCATATTCTAATTTACTACGAAAGAGAGAGAAAAAATAAATGTAAAGTCCCCAGTCGTTCGTTTCAGAAATCCTAATAATTTGTTAGCTTCTTTGGTAATATTATGGATATGCTCATCAAATTTGAAGTTATTTTGAAAAACTATTCCCAAATCGGTAATTTTTGATACTCTCTCTGAAAAATATTTGACAGAATCATCAACCTTTTCGAAGTATCCAATTTTTGGCCAATCAAAATCCCTTAATATTAAAATTATATCTGTTTTCAAGATTATTGTTTGTGTATGTGAGTCTGTTACTTTTTTTAATTTCTGTTTTAATTATCAAAAAGGGCTGTTTCTTGTCTATGGAAACTAAAGGTTCTAATTCCTCCTCTATATTCAAATTCATATTACCAAGCACCAAATCTAGAGTTTTCTGATCCTCGTTAAGACAATTGTTGTAAGACTATAAATTGTAAGTAGCAATTAACAAAGACATTGTTTGAGTTATATCATTTTTATTAGAAAATTGAAAATATGTGCCATTTATACAAGGTATATTGTAATCACAAATGAGTACCAATTGTGTGGTTTGAGTGATTAGGAGATCTAAACTATCAAATAAATCTAGGTATTGCCTGTAAACTTTAGCATTTGAACCCTGTGGAATATAAGTTGAAATAATAATTATTGTGATATCGTGTATTTTAAGTTTTAGAAAAATTATCTCTAATGGTGAGTTTTGTCAAAATTAAAAATATTGTGATTCCATTTACAAACAATGTCATAGGAAGATAAAAATAAAATATTATTAGGTACAAAAAATATTAGAATACATTAATGGTTTTCAATAGTTTATTTTACAACCGTGAATAAAAACTTTTTTATTATTTGTTGAAATTACATTCAACATGTCCTATCTGCAGGGCAGATTAACCTAAATCAAAACTTAACAAACAAAAAAGAATAAAATACTAAATAGACACTCCCTGTATAAACCAATAATATCCAAAGCGGTTCAATATCAACCCCTTTTAACTTTCAAATAACCTTCAACGACACCGGTCGTCTCAGTGTGCCGTTAAAAATAATCACGCGAGACATTTCATCCAATCAAAAGACTGATACTAAAAACATAGGTCTCGCGTGCAAAAACATACGAGTAAAGAGAGCCAATTAGAAGAATGGTAAAAAACCGTTGTGGGTTGAGAAGTAACGCAGGACAAAACTAAAATCACTTTCGCTTTCTCTTTCAAACAAGCAACAAGTCGAAAAATAAAAATTAAAATGCCGGCATTCACGGTAACCATTCCAAGCATTTGCGATTTCATTTTATAAAAAGTATGTAACTTATTAATAATTGAATGTGAACGAATCAAGCAGTGAATATATCAAAATCAAATGTAGGGTAATGGTTTTATTTTTAATACACCCAGTGCTTTAACTAGAACTTCAAGAATATCTTCCAGAGGCTACAGGGTGGAGCATAAGGCCAGCTAATCTAATTTGAATACAGTCCAAGAGTCCACCATGATCGAAGGCAGTATACGTCAAGCCTACAGCTTAAATGAAGCTAGGGTTTAACATTATTAATGAATACCCACTTCTCTACTCACAATTTTTTTCTGAACAGTAATTAAAATAGTACAACATAACAGCAAAAAGAATATTGTAGGGGTTATGTTATGATAAATAACATGTGTTTTATATTAACAAATAACAGTAGTTGTATTTTTCCAATTTTCATATTTTTTCAAAATAAAGAACAAAATAAAAAAGAATTCACCGAGAATTGAACCAGCGCACAGTGGTCGGAAATCGAGTAAAGGCTGACCAATAGTCAAGTTATACGTAAAAAGACTTCAAATTTGGTGTACGAGGGTTTTTGAGGTCATCAATAAGAATTTGTAATTATTTCGTCAAAATACAAAATGACGTATCAAATATGGCGGACATCTCCTAAAAAACTAGCCTAATTTTAACGTAAATCGTATAGAGAGGTTGTATGGATTACTGATTATGAATATATGTAGTTATTTTATTAAGAGAAAATAGCGCTTCCAATATGGCGGGCATCTTCTAAAATAACTTGCTTATTTCTGAAGTAAATAAAGTATAGAGGAGTTTTGTGGGTCACTTATTATGAATTTATAGTTATTTTGTTAGGATACAAATTGGCGGATCTAATAAGGTGTACAGCTTCTGAAAAAACTTGCCTCAAAAACACCTTTGCACTGATTGTCATAAAAATTAAAAAAAAAATTCGAAGCTTGTTCGCCATTTTGCATCCGCCATTTTGTTTTTCAGTAATTTTGAAGCACTAACCTTGAATTGGTGATCAGCGATACAAAATACACCTTTATACTATATTTACTTTAAGTTAAACAAGTTTTTTTAATTGATGTTGCCATATTGAATTCACCATTTTGTATTTCGCAACATTAACCTTAAATACGTAATCAGCGACTCAAAAAACACGTCTGAAATGGGTATTCCAGCTACTAATATATATATATATAATATAATTAGTTTATAGGTTAATAGAGAAGTATACATAAGAATTAATAGGGATAAAACTAACTCGCGTTAAACATAATTAGGACTTCTGCAAGGTAGTATTTTAAGTCTTCTTTTGTCATAAAATATGTTATTCTTTCACCAGCTTATACATATATTTTTTTTAGGTGCAACTGCCTTGGGCGATGAAAAAAATTAGAAAAACCAAATTAGGTATCAAAAATCAATTTATCAAAATTCCTAATTTAACAAAAAATTAACTTATGAAATAAAATAACAACACTAATATTCCGAGTGACCGCCTCTG